CCCCCCCCCACACACACACAAGATGGCCATCCAGTCTCTGTTTAAAAACCTCTATAGGAGACTCCACTGTGTTCTACTGTCAGTGTCCTCCATTTTGAGCATGACTAAGAAGCACAAGTTTATAATTGTAGTGAGTGTTTTTAGGTTTTATTTGGTCAGCCTGCTTTATTATTTGAACTGCAAATCCCAGGATTTCATAGGATGAGGCCTGTGGGAGATAAAGTGGAACCATAATACTGCATAATACACAAGGCCCCCCCTCCCCATGAAAGTGGAAAAATTGCTATTAAAAAGCAAACAAACCCAAAACCCTACTTAAACCTGAGAACCCTCTGAGCAACTCTGTGGTCAACCTAAGCTAGAATTTCACCATAGAATCATATTGGAGGACCTACAAATGCCTAGAGAAGTGTTTTCTCGGGAATCTTTAGGTCCCCTAGTATGACTATGGTCGCCATCTGTCACCAAGTCATGCTGAGGACCTAGAGAAAAATATCAGTTAAATCCATGAATAATCAAATCCGCAAAAGTCAAAGCCACAAATGTGGAGGGCCAACTGTATAATGGTATGACTGACTCCAGGGAGCAAAAACCCTCTGAGTGTGAGTAGTACTGGATACAGTAACTTCAAATTATGTATTTATTGCTTCTGTTTATTACCGTTGAACTTCACCAGAGTACAAGGTGATGTGCATGCCTTCCTTGCCAGTTTCATCCTCAAGAACCACATAAAGAGAAACCACATAAAGGGAAAGAGAGGCAGGGGGAGGGAAATGGTCCATCATCACCCAGTGCACCATTATGGCTCAGATTCTGTATCTCCCAAGTTACAACCCAATTTACAAAGCACTGACTAGATCCTCAATTAGGAACGAAACTGGATAGATTGCTCTTCCCAGCATTTGTCATGTCACTATTGGCTAGTCTGGCCATGACTAATGGGAATTGTAGTCCAACAGGATCTGTAGGGTCACAAGTAGCCCGCTGGCTAGACTAGCCAGTAAGTGGAATATGTTTGTTCTCAGCAATGTGACGAAAATTACACTGTGTTGAATGGAGCATGAGTAGTACTGAATCAAATACCAAGAGATGAGAGTGTGCAAATTTGCTGAGAGAGCCTTAAGCAACTGTCTTAAATCTTGTTATTCATGACCAAGTTCATGTAACATGGTAGGATTTATATCTGAGTAAATTCAAATGGAATTGCACTATGTAAACAGTTTTGAAAACCATCTCTTATTGAGGATGGTAATTAAGGGACAACACAAGGGTTAGGAAGTGCTTGTAAAGGTTACTATTTTGGACTCTGGCTCCCAGAATCCCTCAGGTTTCAGGGGTTATGAGTTTAGTCTGTTTCCCCCCACTTCAAGCTTTGGTTTTAGGGCCCCACAACTTGGTGAGTCACTGAAAACCTTAGACCAAATATTTCCAAGAAATTAAGATTTTTTTTTTAACTCTGCTAGCCCTGTCTTATTACATTTCTAAGGGGGGTTGCAGACTGTCAAAAATAGTGTGAATTCAGTCCACTTTTAGGGTTAGGGTTAGTGCTAGGGAATCATGGGAATTGTTTTTTTTCTGAGACATTGAACCTTCTTTGTCAGAGAACTCTAGTGCCACAATAAAATTCAGTTCCCATGATTCCCTAACCTTAACCCTAACCCTAAAAGTGGACTGAATTCACACTATTTTTGATAGTCTGCAACCCCCCTAAGTGCATTTGGCTTGTCTGAAGGGGAAAAAGTTAATGGGTTTTAACTACTCTTTCTGGGGAGCTGGCCCATGATGTTTGCATCTCAAGAAACTCCTAGATCATTACTATTTCACAGGGCCAGCTTTCTAGGATATGCAGCGCTGTGCCTGTAAACTTCAGTTCTATTGATCTCATTCTGACTTCCTCCCTGGAAAGTGTTTAGAAGATTTCAGCCAACATTAAGCAGAAGTAAAGCAAAAATAAAAAGTTAAGCCAGTTTTGGACTGCTTAACCAAAGCAGTCTTTGATTTCCTGACTGCAGTCCCCATTTCTATCAATGTTTGATCCCAGGTATGGAAATTCTTTTACTATTTCGATTTCTTCATTGTTTAAGTTGAACTTGTGAAGGTTCTCGGTGGTCATTATTTTTGTTTTCTTTATGTTCAACATTAAGCCTGCCTTAGCACTTTCTTCTTTGATCTTCTTTAGTAGATGCTCAAGGTCTGTGAGGTTTTCTGCTAGTACTGTGGTGTCTTAGATTGTTGATATTCCTTCCTCCTATTTTCACTCCTCCTTCTTCTGTGTCCAAGCCTGCTTTTCTTACATTCTGCATACAAGTTGAGCAGATAATGTGCAAGGATGCAGCCTTGTCTAACTCCCTTGCCAATTGGGAACTATTCTGTTTCTCCATGTACTGTTCTGATAGTAGCCTCTCATCCTGAGTACAGATTCCTCATCAGGACTGTCAGATGTGTTGGCACTCCCATGTCTTTAAGGGCATTACATAAGCTTTTCATGATCTATGTCAGGGGTAGGCAACTTTTTTGAGCCAGGGGCCGGGTTGCTGTACCTCAGACAATTGGGGGGCC